ACAAATGAAGTAATTAGAAATATATAGGGAAAGGTAGCTTGTAGGAGAAGCTATCCTTAACCATGGTTCACTAGGAACCATGGTAGGGTAAGCTTTAACTCCCACGGTTTAGGTAGCTTGTAGGAGAAGCCAACCTTGACCATGGTTCACTTAAGAACCATGGTAAGGTTGTCTTAACCTTCCAAGGTTTAGAAGCTTGCAAGGCAAGCTTCAAACCTTGAAGAGCAACAAGCTAATTTCGGCCAAAGAACAAGGTGGAGAGCTAGGCGGCCTTGGTTCATGTTTGCTCCTTGAATTAATTCAAAATTTTTTGATTTGGTTTAGTTAGGTTCATCATATGATGATGAGACCTAGCTAAATCAAATCTATGAAAAATTAGGAGCAAAATGAGTCCAATATGCAAAATTTTGCCTAGGCCCAGTTCTGGCCCAATTACTTGTTACACCCTCAAGCATTGCTAAATGTCACCCCCTTTTCCCTACTGAAAAAATATAAAATGAATGTATCAACTAGGGAGGTTAAATGGAGCTAAACTCTCCAAGTAGCCTACCTTAAAAACAATATACAATCACTAGGAAAAAGCAAGTAAAGTGCCTCACAAATACAAAGGCAAAAATAACCTATACAAGAGACTATTTACAAAATATATGAAAAAGGTCTTTAATATCATCCCATTCCTCTTGGTTCTTTCAGTATATCACCTCTTGGATTCCTTGGCCTTGGCCATAGTCTATCATCCTTCATGGATGATATCAGTTTTTGGTATAAGAACAATGTTGGTCTGGTTTAACGGTTCTGGGAAGAAGCCTTGTTCCAACCATTGTTTTCCTGCATGGTAAATTTCTGGCCCTAACAATTCCCAGAAATGCTTATAAAAGCCTGGGTTGAAACTGTCTGGTCCCAGCGCTTTGTCTGCATGCATTGAGAAGAGGGAAGCACAAAACTCACTAATGCAAAATGGCCTTAGGAGGTGTTCATTATCTAAAGTGGTGATGTGTTGAGAGAGAGAATTCATGATTGGGTCTATCATGTTGTCTAAGGTTGTGAAGAGTGTATCAAAGTACGTTTTGGCTACGTCCATGAGTCCCTGTTGGTCATTCACTACAACATTGTCATCACGGGTGAGTTTCTGTATAAGGTTAGTCTTTCTCCTTGCACTTGCTATGGCATGGAAATACTTAGTATTGTTGTCTCGATTCTTGGGCCAAAACAATTTTGACCTTTGCTTCTAGAAAGATTCTTCCTGCATGATAATTGTGTTAAGTCTTTCCTGAAAATCAAGGAGCCAGGATATAGACGCAGGGTCTTGCTTGTCCCTTAATGCCAGGATATGATTTCTACATGCTTCTATTGGAGCTCGAAAGTGAATTCGGAGCTTTCTTCCCCAGGCATCCATGTCTGTTGCACAATGTTGTAGCTTGTGTAATATGTCAAGAGATTGTGTTCGTAGCCAATTGCACGTCACTAGTGGTTGTAACGTTGGCTCTTTCAACCATGCATTTTCGAACCTGAAAGCACGTTTTGGGCGGGTGTAACGCTGCCTAGAGAGATTAAGAAGAAGAAGGGAGTGGTCTGACCTGGCAGCCACAACATTAAGAAGCCGACAGTGGGGAAAGATATCCAGCCAAGAGCTTGTAGACATAGCTCGGTCCAATCTTTCCTCTATTTGATGTGGTGTCCCCTTACTTTTGACCTATGTGTACTTGTATCCCTCCAAGGGTAAGTCAAACAGATTTGCGTCTGTAACAATGGAATGGAAGCCGTGTAACAACCATGGAAGATGTGCGTGAGAGCCATGTTTATCGTCATTAGTGAGCAGTAGGGATGGCAAAACGGGCCAGCCCGCCCCGTTTTGGCCCGCCCTGCCTTTGGCCCGCTAAAAACGGGCTGGGCCGGGCCGGCCTGCCAACGTAAAACGGGCTAGAGATGTTGGCTCGCCCCGCCTAAGGACGAGCTAGCAGGTTGGCGGGCCAGCCCACATACAAAAATAAAAAAAAATGGAAAAAAATATATTTTATGTTCAAATAAAAAGAATTTGCTACAAATAAATAAATATAACCATATGAAATTAAAAATGCATACATATTGTACATAATATATATTCAATAAAAACAAATTACAAACTTAGAACAGAATCAAATAGAAATTAGTCCATTTACACCAAAATTAAAATCAAATTATAAACTTACACAACTAAATTTTTTGATAGTTCACAAAACAAGTTTAAATACAATTAATTAACTTTAAATTTTTATTTTAAGAATATTAGAAGCTCTCTTAGAAGATGTCTCTACTTTTTTTCTTGATCATCTTCATCCTCATCTTCTACATCAAAATAAAATAAACATAAAAATAATTAAATTTAAAAAAATATATATGCGGGCCGGCGGGTTGTGGCGGGCCGGCCCACTATTTGGCCCGGCGGGTTGGTAGGCTTGGCGGGTTGAAATGATGGGCCCGACCTGCCAATTTTTGGCGGGCTAATGGGCCGGCCCGCGGGCCACAGCCCACTTTGCCATCCCTAGTGAGCAGATCATTAAAGTCCCCCATGATACACCACGGGAGAGAGTTGTCTTGTGCTAGGTGGCATAGAAGATTCCATGAATCTCGTCTTCGTGATCATCCAAGGAAACCATAGAAGCCAATGAAACGTCAAATAGCACTAGATATGTGGGAGACTCTCACGTTGATGAAGTGTGGGGAATAATTGATGAGTAGACAATCAAAAGATTTTTTCTAGAACAAAGCTAGTCCTCCACTATGACTGAAGTAGCTAACCGCGAAGGATGAGTCGAAGTTCAGACGGGAACGCAGTTTGTCTATGCGAGAAGCAGATACAAGAGTTTCACATAAGAAGAGAATGTCAGGATGGTACGTCCTTAGTAGGTCAAGGAGAATAGGAACTGCTCGCGGGTTGCCTAGGCCCCAGCAGTTCCAGCTGAGGAGACTCATGATCATTGGTAGGCCTGATTCCCAGGGCCTACCTTTAAAAAATGAAGATTGGAGTTTCTAGAGTTGGTGTCATCTGATGAGGGAGAGTGTTGGGCATTTTCGTTTGATGTGGGAGAGGCCTCGTGAAGATCATTAAAACCATGCTTTTGCCTAGTTATTGTGGTTTTTAGATCCTCATGATCTTCTTCCATGGCTGAGTGAACAATGCTGCCAGATGCAGCGGGGGATGCATTTTGTCGTTTGGGTGTAGTTACCATATTTTGAAAGATTTTAACCATAATATCTTTCCTTTTTTGAATTTCCGTAATCTCTGGAGATTGGTGTGGTTGGTTGTTATCAGGGATATTCCCTCCCTGATTTACGTGGAAATCCGGATTTTTTGCATGGGAAGGGATATCATGCCATATTCTTGGCCTGATTCATCCCGTAGCCACCGTGAGCTTCCGTCGACACTTCTGTTGTCAGCTCAGAGTGTTGCATTCCAATGGCGCTTCCGATCGTCCTTTGGCAGGGCGAAAAGGCTATCGCAATAATCCTCTAAATGGCCTATGATGCCGTAGAAAAAACATAATATCCCCACACATTCGTATTTGAAGAGTATTGTGAAGGCTTCACCGCCTGCTCTTTTAATACGTTTGTCTTTCTCAGTGGTACTCTCACATCTAGTAGAACACGAATACGCATGTGGCTCTGCCAAATGGTCATGTTATTCTTTTCATCGTATTCCAGAAAGACGCCAATGTAGTTCCCAATTTGTTGGCCAACATCGAGAGACATGAAGCCTGGTGGTATGTTATGTATTTGGATCTGTTCTTACCGGAAATCTACCGTAGAGCTGAACCGCCAGGTAAGATCGGTGAGCCTCCTTCATTGGTACGTTTGTGTTCCAAGATGGGGGTGGTACCTGCAAAAGAGACTCCGATGCTAAAGTTAGTGTTTGTGGGAGTATTAGTCTCGTATAAATAATGCACGTACCTTAGTATGAATTAGGGTTTTACTGGGCCTTGGGCCCGAGATCAGTTATGACCTATTTGGGTGACAAGCTGACGTCACATAGCGCGTGTCCGAGGTCGTCTTGCGCTGTGATACCGAGCTGGGAGCTCGGCTTCGCAGTACGGATAGTACACTAGCCCCCCGAGCTCCGAAGACCGTAGGTCAAGGAGTTAAGACCGAGCTCGTCAGGGAATAGTGACCTTTCGCGTATGCCTGCCTATCATGATGTCATGTGTCATGGCCGAGCTGAAGAGCTCGGCAATAATGAGTTTACTGCTTGGTTAGGCTGGTAAACCTTTGACCGAGTCAGTAGATTTGTGAGGGACAAGTCAGCAACTTAGCTGGCCAGTAGACTTGTCCCCAAGCACCGAGTGATGTAAGAGCAAAGGGGCTTTTGAGGAGCTCCCAAATTTGTTGTTTGAAGGTTCAAATTTGACCTTGTGATCTTCAAGGTTTGACCTCGACATCGGTTAAGAAAATGTGATCTCAAGGTTCGGACTCGACCTCGGTATATCAAGGTTCGAACTCGACCTCGGTTAAGAAAATGTAGTCTCAAGGTTCGGACTCGACCTTGGTTAAGAAAATGTGATCTCAAGGTTCGGACTCGACCTTGGCATATCAAGGTTCGAACTCGACCTTGGTTAAGAAAATGTTATCTCAAGGTTCGGACTCGACCTTGGCATATCAAGGTTCAAACTCGACCTTGGTTAAGAAAATGTGATCTCAAGGTTCGTACTCGACCTTGGCAAGTCGTCATGGTTAATGTGCCAATACCAAAAATGTATGGGAATGGAGTTGCTTTATTGATTTATTTCTTAGGTGTGCCTCGTTAAAACCTTCCTTGGCCAAAAACCATTTTCTTTAGTGGGAAAAAGGGCTAAGGAGGAAAAAGAGTACATCACCTGAATTTACAAGTTAAGAGAAATAAAATTTGAGGTGGGTGGAATTCCAGGTTCCAAATTTTCCTTTGGAGAGGTATGTTCTTGCATTTCTCACCCCACCAAACAAGGTCGCCAACTTTAAATGTTTGTGGCTTGACCTTGGTCTTGCTTTCCTTATGGTTTGTTGCGAACCTGGTCACGAAAAGCAGAGTGCTCTTCCATTTGAATGTACCCTGCAGCTCGGGCACGGAGTTCGACCATATCAAGAGGAGATCGTAGACACAGGCTGTCCACCAAAGGTCTAGGCTTGAGCGCCATGAGCATCGCGTGTAGGGTGACCTTGGGGTTCAATTTTTGAATCTTGACCGAGATACTGGCAAAGCGTTCCATGAACGCCCTTAGTGATTTGTCGTCGCCCTGTCGGAGACTAGCCAAGGCGGCTGATGTGACATGGTGAGGTCGACTCGTGGCAAACTGCGTCGTGAATCGCCTTACTAGAGTGTCAAAGTTGTCTATTGACTCCACCGGCAGTTGAGTGTACCAGTTGAGCGCTGCCCCTTGAGCAAGGTCGGGAAAACCCTACACAGAATAGCATCTTTATTAGTGTATAGGTTTACCTGTGTAATGTACAGATCGACGTGCTCGTCTGGGTCTGTCGTGCCGTCGTAACGGTCAATGTGGAGAGGCTTCCATCTGAAAGGGAGAGGTGTTTCCATGATGCCATCCACAAAAGGATGACGGCGGAAGGTTGGTTGATCCCCCGCGACATGAGTAGGAGCATTGCTGACCGCATGGGCCGATTTGTGTGTCGGGGCATGAGATCGATGCGTGGCAGGCTTTGGAGTTGGTGTCCTATGCGCTATTGGCAGTTGAGAAGCCGAGTGCCCCTCTTCCTCGTTTAGGTGACTCGGTTGAGGGGGTTGATCTGAGGTACGTCGTGGTAGCTGAGCACGGATACGCTCATTCTCGGCGCGCAGCGCCGCTAGGTCTGCTTCATTAGCGATTCGCATCACGGCTAGGTCAGTTTCGTGCTTGGCACGCATGTTTTGCAGATCAGCGGTGTGTTGCTGCCGCATCTGCTCGACCTGCTCGATCAGCCTTCTCAATGCTGCTTCGTTGTCCATGGTAGTTGCGTGATCTAGGTCGTCTGTTGCGCGTCTGCTATGGCTTCTGGTAGAAACCATAAGGGTGGCCGATAAGAGCTGTCTTGATCGGCCCCACGGTGGGCGCCAAATGTTCTTACCAGAAATCTGCCGTAGAGCTGATCCGCCAGGTAAGATCGGTGAGCCTCCTTCACTGGTACGTTTGTGTTCCAAGATGGGGGTGGTACCTGCAAAAGAGACTTCGATGCTAAAGTTAGTGTTTGTGGGAGTATTAGTCTCGTATAAATAATACACGTACCTTAGTATGAATTAGGGTTTTACTGGGCCTTGGGCCCGAGATCAGTTATGACCTATTTGGGTGACGAGCTGACGTCACATAGCGCGTGTCTGAGGTCGTCTTGCGCTGTGATACCGAGCTGGGAGCTCGGCTTCGCAGTACGGATAGTACAGGATCCAAAATGGAACCATGAAAAAAGGGATCATATTGGGAATATCCCCAGGTTGAAGAGTGCCTAGGATAAGAAGGTGTCTATCGAAAGACCAGGGGCTACCTTTGAGCACTTTCTGCATATCCATTGCATGAAAAAAATTGAACATAAACAGGCCTGAGCTTATCTCTTGAATGGAGACTCCGCATCTTGGTTGCCAGATCTCTACCATTCATACCTTCATAATCTGGACTCTGATGCTACGTTCGGGAAAACGACCTATGAGGCATAAGGAAGTATTAGTGGCATTGGTCCCTTGTTGGTCGTTCTGAATGATGAGATCATCTTCATTGGCCAAGATTGAGGTTGTGTAGATCAGGAGTGGTCATGGTTTGGTCGGTGTATTGGCTAGAGTGCGTGGCAGCAATTAAGTTAAAACTTCTCAACGAGGAGAGAAAACATCCCACAAAAGGAGAGAAAAAAAATCTAAAGTAAATATATGTTTTCAAACTTTTCGTTATATATTATTATTATTATTATTATTATTAAACTATACTATATATATATATTCGATACAGTGTAGGTAAAAATAAATTCCATAACTATAAATAAGTAAAAAGAACGTAATAAAATATATAAGCAGCTAATATATATAATATTATTTATAAGAATAATTTAAATGAACTTGACATATTATTTTATATAACTATAAAAAAAAATTAAATAAAGTATTTGTAAATAAGAATTAATATGTTAAAATGCATTAAAAAAACATATAAACAACACATATAAAATGTTAAAAGAAATAAAAATAGTTAAACAATATATTAACATTAGTTAAGTAGTAAAAAATAAATAAGACGAGGTTAAAGTATTCATCCGATCAATTAAAATTCTTTAATGTATAGATCAAATTTATAAAAAATTTAAAAAAATTAAAAATTATTTGATACTCCATTTCATTAATTTAAATTGATGGATAATTATAAAAAAACATTTTATATGTTATGTTGAATCTATCTAATGAAGTATCATATGATTTTCAATTTTTTTAAAATTTGTAAACTTAACTATACATTAAAAACTTTTAATTTAATAGTTGAATTTTTAAAAATTTGATTTAAAACATTAGTTATTGAATATAGAATAGATCTATCAAAATTTACTTTTAAAGTAAGTAAATTTTTTCTTCATAAAAAATTAAGATATATAATTTTATCAGAGAGAAAGTAATTAAACAATAAAAAAAATATTAATATATTTTATTATATTAGATATAATAAGATAATTAAAATATATTTAATAATATATATTTTATAAAA